CCAGGTGCCCTGATTCGGCACACCGGGGACTAGAAGGGGCTCTGGAGCTAACTCGCGGCACCGCCACCCGGGAGCCTGCGCAGTGTGGAGTGAGGACAGGGAGACCCCACAGCATCTCCAGGAAGATGTCTGTGCAGACCTAATACCCGCAGGTGCAACTCTGGGCTTGAAAAGACAGACACAGGCGTGAGTGTTGTGGCGTGGGAGCCAGCAGCCCATATAAGCGCTTGTTCGAGTCCCAGCCTCTCTGCTTCTGATCCAGCTCCCTGCTAATGCACCTGGGTAGGTGGCAGAAGACAGCTCAGGTCCTTGGGCCCCTGCCACCGAGGTGGGAGATCTGGATGGAGTTTCAGGTTCCTGGTTTTGTCCAAGAGTGAACCAGTGGATAGAAGATGTCCTGCCCCGTCCCCCTGTTGCTCCACCTTTTATATAAATTAAAGAGTAAATGTGAAGTTCCTAGAGATGGCAGAGCGAAGTGGTGGATGCCGGAGACCAGGACGGGGTACAGGGGTGGGGCTTGGCGTGCCCGTGCAGAAGTCGAGGGAGCTCTGGAGAGGGGCGGCGGTGACAGTCACCCTGATGTGGAGGGACTGGTTGGCGCCGGACCACACACCCTCAGCTGGCTGAAATGGCGCCTCTCGTGTTACGGATGCTTTACCATACAATTTAAACTCATCTTTATTTCCATTTCTCCACCATGAGCTCTGAGAGGCAGCTGTTCTGCAGTACAACCCGTGGCTCCGAAAGACCCCAGCCGTCATTTCAAATCACTGAGTGCAAAAACCGCACAGACAAGCCCTCCGGGAGGCCAGGGAGGAGCTTCTGCAATGATGTGGGCCAGGGGCGCGCTGGGGGTGCAGCAGGTGCACCTGCTGTTTGCCTGCATCTCCCGTTTGTCACCTTGCCGTCTGCCCGGGGCACAGCCACCACGGAGTTCTGAAGCTCTGGGATCCCGCGGATATTCACCGTGTGAGCGCAGAGTTGACCGAACGCCTGTGGTCGTTTTGTTCTGTGCTGATGTCACACTTCCATGATGTAGAACAGCTCAGAGCCGGTGACTCACTATCAGTTTGCTCTAACACTGAGGTCAATAAAGCTAGATTTGTGTAAGCTTTAAAAAAAAAAAAAAAAGGATGCAGGGGCTGGCGTTGTGGCCCAGTGGGTTAGTCAACCACCTGTGATGCTGTCCCATATGAGCACTGGTTCGAGTCCCAGCTGCTCCACTTCTCATCCAGCTCCCTGCTAATGCGCCTGGGAAAGCAGCAGAGGACGGCCCGAGTCCTTGGGCCCCTGCACCCACGTGGGAGACCTGGAAGAAGCTCCTGGCTCCTGGCTTTGGTTCAGCTCAGCTCTGGCCATTGCGGCAAATGCATTTGGGGAGTGAACCAGCGGATGGAAGACCTCTCTCTCTCTGCCTTTCCAAAAAAAAAAGGCAGCGAATGAAACTGGAATGATTGAGGTTCGTGTCCGAGGTCTGCACACTCCTCAAGAGGGAGGGGCGAGGAGGCGGCAGCCCAGAGCGACCGCAGAGCTGCCACACGGTTGGAAGGTGTGAAGTGAAGGCCGTGGGGCCAGAATAACTCGCTCCTGACGTGGGTGATGTGGACCCTAGTGCGACCCCAGCCTCTGTCTGAGGGGGCTGGGGACCCTGAGCATTTTCTACCACGGCAGCGCTGGGCAGGCAGAGTCCTGAGTCCGGAGCGACCACTGCCGACCCCCCGGGACTCCCAGCCGTGGAGCTGCCGGATCCGGGTCACCAAGGGCTGTGAAACTCCAGCCGGACCAGGCCGGCATACAGTGAAGATCCCAGGAATGAGGTGGTCTCCAGTTGGCGCTGTGGACGTCCTTTATTTTAACACCTGTTTTTCCCGCTTTGGAGGACAGGCTGTGCTGTGATGCTGCAGAGGAAGCGTGCAGCCTTGCCTGGTGACGTCAGAGACACGGTGCTCACCGTGACCGTCCGCAGAACCGGAACTGGAACCGTTCGTCTGTCCCTGGGCTATGCGGGCAACCCAGAGGAGAATTCCGGAGTTGGCCGGCTTTTGGCTTTGAGCTTTAGTTCGTTTCTTGCTGTTTAACGAAGGCCTGGCAGATCCGCCCGTGGGGAGGCGACCGGGCCCTCTTCACTTGCCCTCGCAGCCCCCCCTGCGCTGCTCACTGGGGATGAGGGCCCACCAGGCGGCGGCTCCGGGCCTGTGACCGACCCTGCAGACAGAGGGGCCGCGCGGGGGCCGAGGTCTCCTGTGGAAGAGACTTGACCCAGTGCTGTTGAATGCAAACCCGAAGGCTGGCTCCGGGAGACTGCGCGAGTTAGGACAGCGTCAGGGATCCGGCGTGGGGGAAGGGGCGGGGCCAGGGTGTGAGCTCTGGCAATGATAAGGCTGTAGGATACAGGAAAGCAGTAGACGAACCCCAAAACCTGGATGCTGCCCCCGATGGCGGACCTCTCATTTTTTGGGAGGATGTTAGTCTTTCTGGGGGTGGAGGACTGCCTGGCGGGTGAGGTTTACCAGTTGTCCTGTAACGTTTCCCTGCAGGACCTGTAACCAGAGATGGATGCATTTCTTTTCAGTTTCCCCGTTACCCATACCTTGACGGTCGTCAGGCCGTGTTTCCTGAGGTGCTGGTCAGCATTCGTCGGGTGTGCTCGGGGTACGTCCCACCCCGCCTCTGGTTAAGAGGAAAGCCTCATCGTGGTGTGCAGGAAACACGTTTGGCAGAGTGGTAGCTCTCGTCAGAGCGTGTTCAGTGTCTGGGTGGCAGTGTGCAAAATGTTTTTATAGTAAATGATCTGATGTTTGTGTTCAGGCATCGGCAAAAAAAAAGAAAAAGGAAAAAAACCTAGCACGCGTCTGGTGTCCCCCGTAGGTTGTCCCCAGCGCCCTGGCTGTGGCGGGCGCCTCTCAGACACTGGGCCCCCGAGTTGGGGTCTTCAGCTGGGAGCTGGGGCAGAGTTGTGCTGTCCTCCTGTCTGGGGAGGCCTGAGAGTGAGGAGGCCCTGACTGCCCGGCACAGAACACTCCCCGGGGGTCGGCAGTGGTCGGCTCCGGACCCAGGACTCTGCCTGCCCAGCGCTGCTACGGTAGAGAGTCCTCGGCCGGCCGAGCCAGCCAGATCTGTTCTAAATCACTTCCTGCACAGGGCTCCAGGTATAACAATGCGTACCTCACAGGGTGGTTGTGGGAAGTAGCTGAGATAATGGGGTAGGCAAGCCTCTGCTCAGAGCTCGCATGCAGTAGGTACACAGTAATGGCACCTGTTATTAATTCACACCTCTTGGGCTCAGAGTAGCAAAAAATTATCAGACCATCCTCCACGTGTTGGCTTTCAACCTCATTGTCACAGAGTGGCTGCTGTAAAGTAGACATCGTGTCTGCATTAAAGGCAGGAAGAAGGAGGGAGAAATATGACGTTCCTTCCGTGCTATTTCCTGTAGGAAGTTTCTCCCCAACAAGGCTGAGGGGGCACATTTGGGTGCCCCAGAAAGGGAGAGGACAGGTAAAATGTGAGTTCAAGCCCAAGTCTGACTCAGGTCGGATAGGGAGGCCAGAGAGGCTTCATGGAGGAGGTGACTTTTGTTCATTCACTTAACGTCTCATCCCCTCCTCTGGGCCAGGCCCTGTGGTCAGGGGCACAAAGGGGACGCAGCGAGCCCCAGTGACACTAAGTGTCCATCAATGGATGTAAAACGAGATTTTCACTTCCGGGCCAGTGAACACCAGGCTTTGTTGCATAAACGTGGCCTCTGGGTGTGCGTGGGAGCCAGGGTACTTACGTAAACCCTAGACTTCCCGTGGCTTCAGCACCGGTTCTTACAGGGCTTGCAAGGCAGCAGGGAGCCCGGTGCCTCTTCTGCTTGTCTGAGCCCAGCTGGCAGGCAAGTGGGGAGCTGGCCACACAGAGAGGCTGCCCACACTCCCGCTGGCCTTGAAGCTTCCTCCGGCCCTCGCCCTGCCGGCCTGGAGAGACCCTGACTCCCGGAGGCTTCTCTGGGCTGGAATTGACCCCGAGTCAGCGCCTGGCTGCAGTACCAACTCTTACCAGTAGGCGGTGTGTGACGCTGGCCTCCATGGCCTTTCTGCTCTGTGCCCTCCCAGCTCTGAAACTTGCCCGGCAGCCCCAGACCTCCTCTGTGTGCCCGTGCCACGTGGTGTGGCCTCCTCTGGTGGCCTCTGCATCTCATCACTTTTTCCTCTAGACAGGGGAGGGAGCTGGAGGTTCTTACCTCTGTTTCCCCAGCGTGGGTCATAGAGCCTGGCGCGGGCTGAATGGTCAGGAGTTGTCGCACGAATAAAAGGATGGGTGGATGTATGTATGTGTGTATGTATGGATAGATGGGTGGGTGGATGGGAGGATGGGAGGATGGATGGGAGGATGGATGGATGGACGGATGGGTGGATGGGTGGATGGATGGATGGATGGGTGGGAGGATAGATGGGTGGATGGGTGGGTGGGTGGGAGGATGGATGGGAGGATAGATGGGTGGATGGATGGATGGGTGGGTGGATAGATGGATGGATGGGTGGGAGGATAGATGGGTGGGTGGATGGGTGGGTGGATGGGAGGATGGGGGAATGGATGGATGGATGGGAGGATGGATGGGTGAATGGATGGGTGGGTGGGAGGATGGATACATGGGTGGGTGGATATATGGACAGAAAGCATGGAGGACACAAAGGAGCTTGACTTACTGCAGCATGAAGATTGTTGGGTTTGCGTATTCTAGTCTATAAAATGAACCAGTTTGTGAGCTACAAGGTGAGTTTCCTTGTGACCACGGGTGCCGCTCTGTGAAGGTGCCACCCTGACTGTCCCCATCCCGGGTGTGTGACAGTCCATGCCAGGCAGGCATCCGCGATGCTAGGGACCTGGTGACGCGTGCCCGTCGTGGGCAGGTGTCGTTTCTGTTGGTTGGAGCCAGCAGCCGGGGGCCAGCGCTCGGTGCACCCTGTCGGTCGCTTTAGAGTTCATCACAATGCTTCGTGTGCCCTGTCTTTCAGAGTGAAACATCGTTCAACCTCATATCCGAAAAATGCGACATCCTCTCCATTCTCCGGGACCATCCTGAAAACAGGATTTACCAGAGGAAAATCCAGGTGAGGCGGAGCGGAGGGGAGAGAATCCCAAAGCAAACCGAGGCTGGGAGCAAGCAGGGCGCTGCGCTTTGGAGGCGGAAGGCTGAGCGTTTGCACCAGGCGCCCGGGACGTTAAAGGCACAGGTCAATGTTGGCCTTAGCAGGAAGTCCGGTCACTGTCAGAAAGTAAGAAAGCGGCTTCCGAGAGCTTAGCTCCCTCCCACGCGTTCCCTATGCGCGCCGCGTCTCGAACGTGACTCCGTGAGGTCAGAACTTTTGTTATCCCCATTGTACCACTGGGGAAACTGAGGCATAGAAGTCGAACAAGGGGCGTTCAGGAGCCCGGGCAGTCTGATCTCAGAAGCCATAGGTGCGGCCAGTGTCCCAGGGGCCCTAGAGGGAAGGCACACCTGCTGTCCCAGGGGCCCTAGAGGGAAGGCACACCTGCTGCCCCGGCGGAAGGGGGTGGTCGCTGGGAGACCTGCGGGGCGGCCCTGCCTCGGCCTGCGGGTGCACGTGCTCTGGTGCCGGCGGAAGAGCTGCCCCAGCCCCTTAGGACCCCCCAGGTTCCTCTCGGACAGGCAGCACTGGCCTGCGGGCGCACGGGTCTGGGCAGCGGCTGCGGTGGCCGAGTTCAGCCCCAGGGAGCATATTGTAGACTAGAATACGCAAACCTAACAATCTTCATGCTGTAGTAAGTCAAGCTCCTTTGTGTCCTCCATCCTTCCTGTCTGTCCATCCACCCACCCATGTATCCATCTTCCCATCCATTCCCCCACCCACCCAGCACTGCCGGCTGGCACGTGGGCTCTCCCTTTCCCGGGGGTCGTCCTTGGAGAAGAGATGAGGACAGGGTCTCTGGCGAGCGCCACCTGCTTCCATCACGGGCCAGCGCCAGCTCTGAGCCTCCTCATGGCTTCAGTGCCAGGGGACTGCCCGACCGCTGGAGAACCCCACTCTGTGCTGTCCGGACCCTCACTGTAGCCCCACAGGCAGAAAGGGGGACTGCAGGCCACTTCAGAGGGAGGGGCAGCGTGAGGAGGCCAGGCCTGGTGGGAGCCTTTGGAGGGCTGCCCGGGATGCTGTGCCCAGGATGCCCGTGTGCCCAGAGTTCCCATGTACCCAGGGTGCCCGGTTTGCCCAGGGTGTCCATGTACCCAGGATGCCTGTGTACCCAGGGTGCCCATCTACCCAGGGTGCATGTGCCCAGGGTGCCTGTGTACCCAGGGTGTCCATGTACCCAGAGTTCCCATGTACCCAGAGTGCCCAGGGTGCCATGTGCCCAGGATGCCTGTGTGCCCAGGGTGCCTGTGTACCCAGGGTGCCCGAGTGCCCAGGGTGCCCGAGTGCCCAGGGTGCCCGAGTGCTCAGGGTGCCGTGTGCCCAGGGTACCTGTGCAACCAGGGTGTCTGTGTGCCCATGGTGCCCATGTACCCAGGATGCCCCTGTTCCCTGGGTGCCTGTGTACCCAGAGTTCCCATGTAACCAGGGTGCCTGGTTTGCCCAGGGTGCCCGTGTACCCAGG